GCCCCATATCTGAAGATTGAGTTCATCATGACTAGTAGGAGATTCTGCAATTAAGTGCCCTTTTTATTGATTCATTAATGCAGAAAAAATGAGATTTAGCTGATCAAACTTATTTGCAAAACAGGAGACTCTTCCCAGGCTAAACCGCTGGTTCCAAGCTAATGAAGTAGGCTAAAAGATATATCCTAAATTGCCTACAGTTACTCTGGTGACTGAAGTAGCATAAAGGTTGATAAATACATAAATATATTCATACTCTACCATCTCATCTAACCAAGTCACTACGAATTATTTTAGAGAACACACTAACTGCAACTAGACAAATTTAGGATGGCAAAACGTTTTGGACAGACTCCATTAGTTTTCTAAATATTCTCAACAGATCCCAAACTGCTGTGAGGCATCTACACTAGCTCAAAATCAATAAGACCACAAAACTCTTTCTATAAACAATCTTGCTTTCTCCACTTGGGCTGGTGACAGTACGCAAGACCTCAATTTGGAAATGCTGTTTCTAAGAAGGCCTGATGCCTACACTTATGATCTTTCAATATCAGGCAAAGACCATTTAATCTTACTTGTTGCTTTCAAATGCCAAACCAGTTTACTCTGTTTTTATCATCTTTGCAGTGTATCCGTTTTTTTTACTCTCAGTTGCTGAAAAGACTTTCACTTTAATTATCAGAGTTAACTGCCTGCCTATAAAGCAGAACATTATAGACAGATGAAGTGCAACTGATTGGTACAAGGGGTTCCTAAAATTAGCCCTACGCTGATGTACATGGGATCTTATATTTATTTTCCTTCCTTAAATTAAAAATAGCAATGAGGACCCAAAACAGGATGTAGCATCAATGAGTAATTTTCTCAACTCTAGTCTCAGTCAAAAGTTTGAATGTGACAGAAGGGAAAATATACAGGCACCTTATTGGTTTCTATAAATCTTCCTCTATGGTACAAAAGGGGAGAAAAAAGAGCCATTGGTAGAAGTATGAACACTCCACAATGACCAAAAAGTTAAATCATGGATTTATTGATGTCACACCTAATTTAGTTCTAACTTTTAGAGAGTTAGAGTTAACTAGTGCTCGTGAAAGTGATTCATGGTTTTATTTATTCATTTAACGAATTGGAATCCTGCTGTAATCCAGCAACTCTTGGCAGCTTACCTGATGTAATATAAAACATCCATAGTAAGTCAACAAATTGGTTGAAAAACAAACAAGAAAAACCACAAAAGCCAAATAACTGAATAAAATACTGTAAAAAATAAAGGTGGCCACTGTAACTGAAACTAACCAGAACACTCTTTGGAACAGCTCGGTTTTAAGGATCCTCCTGAATGCCAACGAAGAGGGGGGCTTTTAAATGTTAAAAGGTTAAACCAGCAGATTTTTACCTGTCTGCAGATCCAGCAGCTATTTTACTTCCATCTGGTGACCAGGAACATCGCAGAAGGTTCTAACAAACAAGAAAACATGGTCCAATGTCAGGCATAATTCCAGTTCTTATTTTCATTTGAAACGAAATCTACCAGGGCTTCCGATATTAGCAATACTTCAGGAGTGGTTTTCCTCTGAAACCTTAGTCTGCAGTTATGTACTGTATTTTATTGCCAGAACTATCAGCATCGTTATCTTACGTGAAATAGATTGTGAATGTCAAGATAGTTAATTTATAGACAGTTACAACTGCATTGGGGGGGAGGGAGATCTTTTGCAGCAGCTCTAATTGGAATTTCACTCCACACATTAATCTCCAACACAGGCCTTGTTAAAGAGTTTGGAGCCATTCCGAATTTTAAAAGCCATTTATTCATCAATTAACTTTCAACTACCAGCCATAAACAAGCGATGTTTCAGCTAGCACTTCACTTACCTTCTCAAAATTATGCACATTCCCTTGGAGTATCTTCACACATCTCTCTTTGGGGGCAAAGGGCCGAACATCCCAGATGCGAACTAGAGCAAAACCAAAACCAGCATGTAACAACCAGAGCTAATTATTTAGATATTGGCTCACAATGCAGGTTTAATTGCCAGCCAGCTGCTAAAATGTAATTTTAATGCAATAATAACAACAATAACATCAACCAAAGTTACAACATCTAGAGTGATTATCACCTCAATTCTCCCTGACAGCCAAGATTAAGGATCCCTGTGAGGACAGCTTAAGGCCAAATACTCAAACCGAATGCCAGTGCCAAATTCCACCTATTCTGATTTCTGCACTGTTATTTGTAGGAAAAGTTCAATCAAAGAGGATAATTTAAAATTGCTCCTCACTTTGAACCAGGAAGTTACATATACATAGCAACCTTTGCAGGGTTTTCTTTTTAACTGCTCTTTATCTTTTCCTTTCGCTCCCTGAATACCACCAGAAAGTTGCCCCTCAATCCTATCTCTCATTCTTAATTTTTGTGCATACACTATCGTAGCCCTAAAACTACGGGCGCTGTTGGTCTGGCTACTTACCATGGCCATGTTATTATACTGTACATAGAGCATCCAAGTCTCTAACCCAAATTGGCTAAGCTGATAAGAGTGGCACAGAAAATTCAGCTGCCCAGAAAACAGCGAATCTGCAAATCAGCTTCTGACAATTGGATTACCTGCTATTAACCTGGTAGCTCTACCCTAGAGGAAATAAGAATACACCCAGTATACAGATGCAGTAGCTTCTGGTTATGGGAGTGAAACATCATACTTCATTCTTGCACTTTGCAGCTCGAAGCCCAAGAACTCCTTCCTAAGGGCTGGCTTTTCCCCCAGGCACTGGGACAGAAAGGGTGAAGCCCAAGAATAGTATTGTTGAATGGATGGAGATGATAGATGACAGGCACCTGTTTTTTCTTGGTTTTCTTGTTTTTACTGCTTGTCATTTTATTAACGTTGTGAGCCGCCCAGAGTTGTATTTTACAGGATGGACGGCCTTATAAATCTTTTAAATAAATAAATGACCCACAGTCTCAAACATTTGCCACTAATGACCAACTGCTGAGGATACCATGCCTGGAGGACAGAGAGTAAGGAAAAAGTGATTACCTGCATTGTCCATTGCATTGGAAAGCAAGTAAGAGCCCTCTGCACTTAGGCTGAGACCCGTGACAGAATCCGCATGTCCTCTCATTGTGTAAGTTAGCTTGTTCTGACGAAGGTCCCATACCTTTAAGAAATTTGAACACAGGCCACACACTTGAAAGACATACCAAAAACTAAGAAGTAATGACCATAAATAAAATGAGACCCTAAAAGTGTCACATTAAGTTGTAGTAAAAAGAGCCTAGTCTTTTTCCAATATTCCAGACACAGGGATTTCCTTCCAACGTTACTTTGGATTAATGTTTACTTTTGAAAGGGAAAACAGACAGAAATAACTGGTTCTATTATAAACAATCACATGTTTAGGAACAAAATCCAAAACGTAGTTTTAGAGGTGTGAAAAGAGATACTCCCCCAGCCCCACATTATTCATGGCCTACATATGGGGCATCTAGCCAAACCTACTTCTATTCCTGCTCTTAGAAAAACCTGAAACATCAGAGAGAATTAGCCGTGCCTCCTCACCCTCACAAAAGAATTTACATTTCAAGTGCCAGAGGAAATTAGAAAGCCTCCACACCATCTATGCTTTTAACACGTTTTTCTTGGTGCTGCCTGTTTTATTTTACTGTTATAAATGAAAAAGGAAAACATCAGTTTTAAAATATATGGGGCTTGAACTACTGGACCAAGTCAACTGACCTTGATATCATTGTCGATGCCGCCAGATATTATCTGATCACTAGTATCATTGAAAGTCACAGCTAATACTTGATAGGTGTTCTGAAAAGTCTGAACAGCTGCTTTCTTCCTGATGTCCCAGAGCTGAGGAGAAAAAAAAAGTTTTTGTTTTATATATAAATATGCTAAGATTGTGAGGCATTATCAGGACTTCTCTTCACCTACTAACTGTAAACAGAAGGTGACTGTGTAGGGAAGGAACAACGAAGATACAGTTACTGTGTGTCACTTCCCAAAATCTACAGATTGAGCGTATATAATTGAGACACTTCCATGCCTCCAGAGACAAGAACCCTGTTCACGTTCATGATATGGATGTCAAACAGGGCAAAGAACCCATATGTACATAATGCTTTGGAGGTAAAACCATCACCACAGCCCCACTACCACATCCTGTGCGCAGAACTGCTTCATGTGAAGAGGCCTTCATTAACTCCCATTGGCCAATATCAAGTTATCACAACCATATTTTTTAAAAAAGGCAAGGGATTTAACAATTTTCTAGCTTTTTTAAAAAAATAAACATATATTTATTATTCATGTGAGTAGACTTCTGAACAGCCACAATCAAGCGACTCTCAGCAGTGAACAGAGGGTTAGAAAGCATATAAATGTAAAATATCTACAAGGGAAGCATACAAAAATTACACACATTGAAAAGAATAACTTAGAGCAATATCAACAAATATATGATGTTCCCTCAATAAAAAAAGCTCTCTGGAAAAGCCCTGCTTCCAGAACGACAATAGTCCGAGCGAAGCTAGCTCCTCAAGAGAGGCTATTCCAGCATACAGGAGCCATGACTGAGGAACCTCTCAGCCCCCCAATACTATGGTATTTCCCTCCATCAGGAATCTTGACATTTGCATAGTATGGAACATATTAAGTAGAAACATGTTTTATATAGATAAAAACTTCTAATAAGAAGCTACTCCTCTATTAACCATCCATCAAGGAGAGCCTTAATAAAACCTAGGGTGGATTAAGAATGCTTATAGGCCTACAGAAATGCTTCAGGCCTCCTGAAATTCTAAGTATTTCTCTAGTTTTTCTATTGTAGGCTTTCTTTGGCACAGGTGACCAATGTACGCATGCATCTATTTGGGGGAAAAGATAGCAGCAATCCCCCTCGGGAGGCCCAAAACCTTTTAAGTAACTGATTCATTTAATGCTGCCACAAAACTATCATTTATATAAACAGTATCACAACACCAAGTATTAAAAAAAAGGAGAAAAAAGGCACCACCTATCCAAAAGGCGCTGAAAGTCACTGACCTCTAATAGACAACCAGAAAGACTAACAACTGGAAAGACTAACCCAAAGTCATCCTGCTGGCTTCCTGCCTAAGGCAGGACTAGAACTCACAGTCTCCTGGTTTTTAGCCTGGTGCCTCAAACCACTACACCAAAGTGGCTCTCACTATTACTCTGCAAGAGAATAATAAAAATTCTGACCTTCACTGTGCCATCATCACTGCCTGTACAGACCAGCTGAGGTCCACGTCTTGCTGGATAGCAGGAATTGACAAATGAAGTGTGTCCTTTAAGTCTTTTCACTCTCTCTCCTGTCTCACTATCCCATACTGCTACTGTTTTATCCGTGGAGGCAGAGAACAGCATGCTGAGAAAGAAAGCAATAGTTATGAGACTTATAACGGCTTAAGGCACGTCTCAAGGCTTAAAGTAATTTATCACATTAAAAAAATGGTCCATTAGGTAAGAGAAAGATACTAGAGAGGAACACAAAAATCTTTGGGGACTCACCTTAATACTGCCTGTAGTATTCGAAGGAAAAGGCAATCTTGTATCTTTTGCTACAATTGCTTAAAATTTTAGGTAACCATGCAACAAGCAGCTGTTACACAACAGAGGATGGGTAGGAAGTAAAGCCTAACAATTGAAAACTTTGGGAATATGATCTCTTACGTAGGAGTCCCCCACTGGGGGAGATGGGCAGCATACAAATTTAATAAATAAATAAATAATAAATAAAATGAAGAGTGCATTTTGAGCTTTTCATGCCAGAGATGTAATATATTTGAGGAAATTTTGCCCCATATGCTTTTGGCTGGCTTTACAGTAGTCGTGTTTTAAGATGATATTCAAGGCATTATTAATATAATTTTGAGAACAGAAATAAGGTTTAAAGGCTTAAGATGACTTATCCAAGTTGAATGGAAACTTGGCATTTGTTGCCTTATGAACAACTTTGGATTTAGAGTTAGTCCAGCTTAAAACATGTACTTCCTTCCAGCCTTTGAACTGGCTTTTTATCAATCCAATGTAAACACTGAAGAATATGATTTGCTATGAGCATGGTTTAATTTGCTGTTTAAAAACTGAGTCACTTATTGCAGAACATGTAGGGGTTTTTTTTGTAATGTACATGCATGTGCTTTCTAGTTTCTTTTCTGTTTTTAAATATATATTGTTTTGTATTTTCTCTCTTTTTTCCTAGCTCTTTTAAAACTAATTCTTTTTTTAAAAAATTCAAGGCTCTGTTTCAAAGAAAACAGGAAAAGCAACAGCAAATCATGGAAACAGCAAAACACAGCATATGACTATGATGTGAAGCGAGTTTTCTGCTTTCCTATTGAGTTTTTTAGTCAAATCACAGACTTGACTACTTACACGTTTTCAAAAGCTGCGAAATATTTTGACATATCCTACAAAATGTAAAAAAAAAAAAAAAAATTATTAAACACCAACCTGCCATCAGTGTTGTAATGTAATTCCATAACTGCTCCACTATGACCCTTCAGAGTGGCATAATTATCACAGTCACCATACACATTCCACAGGACTGAAATGAAAGGGAGGATCAAGCCTAAGTATAGCATTTTCTCTGAAAAGCTTGAATATATTCACAAACCATTTCAAATCAAAGGCTTTTAAGACACACAGTCTGTGATTAGGCAGGTATTATCACATATAAGATTACAAGTATTGAAAATGTCATTAATATCTATACCATTATACCAAGTTGACATATTTAGCAACAGATGGAAGTACAGAGAAAGTAAAATTTTGGTTCATCTAATGAATGAAAAAGGGCAAGCGTTCTTTTGTAAATGACAAAAAAGAAAGTTCTGCTAAAAACTACTGACAGGCTATATCATCACATCCTCAGAGAAGAGGCATGTCTCTATTTACGCTCATTAGAAAGGAATGGAATCTTCTGAGAAAACAATTTATAACTTAATCTGCAGCTTTAACAAGCCCATTACATTAAAAAAAAAATCATAGTATCGACTTACGTATCAACCTGTCAAACCCAGCTGAGGCTAAGGTGGCTCCATTAGGATGAAATTTGCAACAATAAACCTCTCCTTCATGCCCAGAAAGTAACATTATGGGTGCTTGCAAGGAGGAACATCTTGGAGGCCCCTAAAATAGAAGGGAAATTTTCATTCATTCATTTATATATTTATTTATATATCAAATTTGTCACTACCCATCTTGTTGAAACGACTCTGGGCGGTTTACAAAACCGTTAAAATCAATTAAAATTACAATATACAATAATCTTAATAAATAGAAAATAAATAGATCC